ATCGCGGGGGTGGCCGGTGGGAGAAGGTGTCGCGTGCCAACTCCCGCAAGGGGGTGCTGGGGCAGCTGGCACCCAAGGCCCAGGAAAAGCAGGCCACGGAGCTGGCGCTGCTGCAGAAGCAGCACGTGCTGCTCCAGGAGGAGCTGAGCCGCTGCCGGCAGCTGTGCCAGGAGAAGGTGCAGGAGGTCGGGTCTCTGGAGGCCCGGCTGCGGGAGAGCGAGCAGGAGCGGGCCCGGCTGGAGCGCGAGGTGGAGGAGACCCGCCGGCAGGTGGTGGCGCTGCGGTCGGAAGGGGGCGTGACCGAGGGCATGTGGATCCGGAAGGGGGCAGATCCTCGGAGGCGGAGCTTGCCCGCAGGAGACGCCCTGTATTTCAGCTTCACCCCGCCCCAGGTAGGTTACCCACGATGCACGGCGTGGGGTGCGGTGCTGTGTGCCCAATGCTCAAGGCCTGGCACTCGGGGGGGGGGAAGCACTAACAGCCGTGTTGCCCCTGCACTGAAATGGGAAGGTGGCCGGGAGCCTTTTCTGCGGTTTCCCTCTTCTGGAGACTCAGCATTTGCGCCTTGTTCATACCCTTACCCAGCACTGGCAGCTCAGAGGGGCCTTAAAATGAGGGTGCTGGCTAGTTCTGGTGCCCATGGTCAGTCGGTGCCCTGCCCCAGACAGCAAGTGCAGGATCAGGGTGCAAAAAATTCTGGGTGCAGTTTGATTTGGGGGTGGAAAACACCCCAGCCAACGTTCCCACTGAACTTTTCCATCCATGTGCAGAATAATTTTGTGATGTGCACCAAGGCGCATGCGTGAGTTGAAACACAAACCCTAGCTATGGGCGCATGGCTAATCATTGGAATTTCTCCTGAGTAGCTGCCTAGGCACCCAGCTTACAAAGAACACTGACCTCAACCACCCCCCCAAAAAATCCACAACCCCATTGCATCTGCCACTTACCCCTTATCCTGGGCCGGGTCCCCTCCCTGCACCATCCCCACCAGACACTTGGCAGGGTCCCTCCTCTCAGGAGGGCCATTGCACAAGGACCCCATCCTTTGGTATGAAGGGTGAATGCTTGATCCTGCTCTCCCCTCCCTAGGTGTGAAGCCCACAGAGTACTTGGTCCTCCCTGTTCCTAGAGCAGCCCTGCTGCCTTGTCCCTGTTCAACCTGGCTCTCCTGACTTCCGGTGGAGGGGGGTGGAGCTGGAAGCCACACCCACTCTGTGCTCTGTCCCCCCCTAGTGGTGGCTTGGCCTTGCAGACCTATCTTGGCTCTCCTTCCTAGCACAGACACTCAGGGCTAG